ACTAGTACTAGTAGTAGCAGTACTAGTAGTGGTAGTAGTGGTAGTAGTAGTAGTAGTAGCAGTGGTAGTAGTAGTAGTAATAGTAGTAGTAGTAGTAATAGTAGTAGTAGTAGTAGTAGTAGTAGTAGTAGTAGTAGTATTACTACCACTACCACTACTACTACTACTACTACTACTACTACTACTACTACTACTACTATTACTACAACTACGGCTACTACGGAAAGTTTTTTTTGATGGCGAGCTGCGTTTTTTTGTCCGCTTCTTACGGAAGATTAAAGTTGGACACAAAAATTTCACTTGATCTAGAAATCTTGCTGGGACTGTGCACGCGGAAGGACGCGGAACGGCTGCAGAAGGCGTTGCTCGGTGGAAGGGCGCGGAAGCACCAAATACGAAAGTCGCCGCGCCCAACGAAGACATGTCTCGACCGAAGCATACAAAAGTGTTTGAACCAGCTAATGTTGTACTCTTCCGGGGTTCAGGTCAGCTTCCAGGAATCCCGAGGCATGCCCAGGAATTGTTGCAAGATAATATGTTGCGCGCATTCGCTGAAAGGAGCTAACGTAATACGTCAAGTGGGGTTTACGCTCTTGCGGAAGGGTTTGCTCGCAAAACGGTCCGCGGAAGGGCACGCGGAAGGGACGACATGAAGTGACTCAGAAACGTGCCAACGCTTCGAGGCGCGGAAGGCTGCGGAAGCAGTGGCGGAAGGGTTTTGCGGAAGGGGTTTTTGCGTCCTGAGGATTGAAACAGAATAAAAGAACACCGCTCTCATGGGTTTGCTTGTAAACATCTACAGAAAGTCTTTTTGATTTGAATACAGTTTGTTTGATCGGTGGAAAGTTGCTCTTTGATCTTGGCCAAAAGTTTTTGTGATCCCAAAACAAAATTTTGATCCGTTTCCCGGCACAAAACAGTGCCTACGCGCGCCATGAACGTAGAATGTTCAGCATGGGGTGCCATCGACCTCATCGGGCATCAGCATGTCAAAAGAACTGTACGGCGGGGGTGGACTATTGGTGGAATCTTCATGTTTCGCTTGAGTGTTGTGCTGGCACGACTCGAGGTTGCTGGAGTCGCGTTTAGGCCTAGGACAACAGATTGTTCATCCAAGGGCCTCTGCGTCTTTGGATGCGCGGCGTGGCCGCACCTGTTATGGAACTCGTCGACCCATGCACATACAGCAGACCATGAACAAGGTAAGTGTTTGTTGTGCATCCAAAAGCAGAGTATTCAGAAGCAAAACAAACTTCTCGATGCTCGTGCTCAGATGCCACGAAACGTATCTAGGCGGATGGCAGATCATCTCCTCCGGTCTCAGTGGCGGTGACTTGGCATGGAGATGCTGGTTGTTGATGGCCCATGTTGCTTTTTGAGGCCTCGTGGCTTGCTCCCGGTGCTTGTCGCTCATTCACGCCAATGTAGCTGTAACTCGCCAAGAGCCCTTGTGGTCGCCATCAGCAAGCTTTCAAAGTACACGCGCTCACACTTGTGTCGCATGTACTGGAGTCAGCTGCCCTTCACCTAAAATTAAAAGTGGGGTCCACTGGCGGATTTACTGACGCAGGCACGAGCACGACGATGCAGTCCCTTGGCAGAAAATCGGATGCCTCTCCAGCTCTCTTCTCCCATATTTTCTTCCTGTGACGATCCGGAAATGATTGATGCGCGTGGCGGGTGGACGTTGCAACGGGCTAGTAGATGCTGTATTAAGCTTTTCACCAGTTTTTTGGAGTGGGTGCTGTGAGCACCAAGCCCTCAGTATAGACAAGGGGTCAGCAGAGGGGCCGCATTGCAAAGGCGTATCGCATCCTGGGGGACCTGAAGGTGGGCGCAGTGAATCTACAAGCCACTCCTAGTAGCATCTTCACCGATGCGGCGTGCTCCCTTGATACCAGCCTGTGCTGGCAGTAGGCAGTTGTTGCACCTCCTGCTTTGGCCAATGTGTCCGGGATAGCTTTCGGGCTGCCCAAACATGTGAACGCAGGCCATCTTAAGGGAGCAGGACCACAAGGGAGACCTTCGGTTGCATCCAGCCATATCCAGCCCTTATGCGGATTAGAAGTTTTCGTGCTGCTAGTGGGACGACCCCCAATCCACCAACGCCCGAGCATCCAGACCATTCCAACCCATGGATGAGATTTCACTGCATGCCTCGGTATCCATGTTTTCGATCTTGTTCTGTCGTGCGTCTACCGCCGTGCACACACAGAGCCCCTAAACTGACCCTGGCGCAATGCCAAGTCTGAATGTGGCGTGTCGGCGCAGCCGCGAAATGGTCCAACATTTGGCTTCGAAAGGTGGTGTGAGCAACACGGAAAGCAAATAGCAATCTGGCTGATCGATGCCATCTAAGGAGGTCAAGATATTCGGCAGCTGCGCGACCAGCTTCCGATCAGCAAAGTCTGACCTTGATGTGACGCACCTTAGCTGGTAAGTTATGGAATCAATGGAATCATGTAGCTCTTGGAGGTGTCGGGCTTTTTGTGCGCAGCAGCTTCTGCTGTCTGCCGGGCCAAGGTACACAGGAGATGTGGAGAATGGACGCAGCGAGCCTGGAATAGCCGTAGCTAGATGGTTTATGAGGCGGCGAGGTTGGATATTCGCAAAAAATGACGATGAAGTCGCAAAGGTGACAGGTTTCACTTTTCGGCCTCAAGCCCAACACCTTGTCAGATTATTTTCCTTGCAGTCCCTGGCTTGAGGAGTGATGTCCACCCTCGCCACAGTCATGCAAAGCCTCAAGGACTGCCGCATGTTGAAACACCATCCCACTTCGTCGATGTAGTGCTGTTGAGAACCAGGTTTCTTTCTATCAACGAGGGGGAGGCGAAGGAGGAGTAGTAGTAGGAGGATAGAAGAAGGAGTAGCAGCAGCAGGAGCAGGAGGTCGTGCTTGCGGTCGCAGTGGCTGCTGTCGTTGTCGTCGTCGGTTTTGTCGTCGTCGTGGTAGATTAGAAATAGAAGCTGTAGCGGTCATGTTTGTAGTCATGGCCGTTGTGCAGCAGCACCAACAGCCTGTAACGACGACGACTGCTGCTGCTGCTGCTGCTGTAGAACAACGGTGACATTGACGACGACGACGTGCAGAAGCATCAGTGAGGTCATACACTGATTCTGTTAAAAGGCAACTGCGACAGGGAAAGGTGCAAGGCAGTGAACACTACCCCCTGCAAGGTGAATGTTTTCAGCGCACGAACCAATGTGAAATGTGACAGAAACGTGTCTCCAGGACCGTGGCTACCAGAATGTCACCAAAGTGTTCACGTTCCATTCTCAGCCTGCGGCGGTTGTTGTCGCTCCAAGTGCACCCCATATGCGCCTTAGAAAGCCAGGAAGGTGACTTTCAACAGGCAAGGTCGCAGTCGAGACGTGATGATGGCTGGCCCAGCATGCCTGAAAAATCAGAGAACTCGCAGTAGTTCTGCTTCTACACGGGTTTTTGCTGCTGCCTGCTGTTGAGCCGTGTGATCCTGGTGCACCTTCTACAAGCTTGTGGCGCTTGGCCCCAGGTCTCAGACACGGCTTGTGAAGTTCACAGACCCCTCCACCAACATGGAGGCAAAGACCTGTGCTTCGCTGCAGAGGGCCGCCGCCCTGCCAATGATACTCAGCAAAAGCGAGGCATGGAATTGAAGCAGAGGAGGGAGACAGGAACGACCAGTCTCAGTTTCTTGATCCTCAGACCTAGCGTCGAAGGTCGCACGGTCTCATTTCGTCCCTGGGGTTGCGCCTGCCGGCATCGATTGGTCAGACCTGACTTTGTTGCTTGGATCGTGGGTTTCAGCAAGGTCATGCAAGGTCCCAGGCAGTGAGCCTGTAGTCCCGGCACCATGGCATTTCGACTCCCCTGCTCCGGGCAGGTGGACTTCTGCTTGCAAAACGCCCCTTGTCTGCTAATGAAACTTGCGGCACGCTGAAGGACTGCATTTCGAACGCATCCTGTGATCTAGCTACAAGTAGTTCCCACAAAGCATGACCTAGGCGGAGATACTCGCATCAAGTCGTGCAAGGGCAGAGTTCAGGGGTGGTTTCGGGCTGCTCCATGGTGTGTCCAGAGGGAGCCTGTCCTACATTCCCGGAAGCTGAGGACCTGGGAATCAGAAATTCCAAAATGCTGGAATGCTATTGCCGTTGCGACTACCGAGTGCAGATGTGGGCTCGGCTGCATCAGTTGGCGCTCTTCTCTGGGACAGTTGGCCCTTCCATTCGTGTCAGCAGCTTTCTCGTACCCCCCGAGAAGTGGTTGAAGTTGAAGATCCCTCCATGCGAAGCAGAAGCGACTTTCTCGTAGTTTGGGGGGAGACGGAAACCCCACATCTTCCGTGGCCGTGGCCGCGGACCTGTCCGAGGTTGGGACGTCTGGTGCAGCTCGGATGCATTTCTTTGGACTACCGCTAACGGTTTTCGGCATCGCAAGATGCTGTTGGAAGGGAGCTGCGACCAGAAGACTCCGTGGTTTCCGGGTGGGCTGTGGCGTTATACCCAATATGTCGGGGTTGAAGGAAGCGCCCAAATTTAGCAACACGCAAATCTATGAAGCTCTAGGGCTCTAGGAATGCAGCAGCCAATGGGGCCAAAGAGGGGTGGCTGCTTGCAGGCTTGCCTGCGCCGGACACCCGCTAGAACTTACTAAAGTGAAGTAGTCGAAGCCTGAAAGGTGTAGTTGATGCACAGTCTGCTGAAAGATTTTGAGACAGCTGTCAGGAAACTCTGGGCCAAGAGGTTTGACATTGTGAGCAGCACGGATGGTTGCCTGAACAGCTATGCGCAGCTCGGCCTTGACCCTGATGGATTGCGAAAGCACAGCTCTGTACCTGTTATGTAGTGAAGGCATGCGTTGCTGAGGTAGAGATTCTTGCTTGCGAGCTTTTGCAGCCCTAACTCCCTCCTACTAATCGGGGCTTGGAACTGGCCAGGTACATGCTCATGGTGTTGTACTACTTGCAGTGTCTCGGCCATGACTTGGGCAATGTGCACAGGTTTTGTAATCGGCCACGTGGTTTCGTTGACAAGCCGAGGGTGCGGTCATGGGGGAGGTCGCCTTTTCGGAAACCATGCCACGGTAGTCAGGTAAACGACACATGTCCTTGCCGATGGTTTGGGCTGTTTCATCTTATAACCTCAGGCTGCTTTAGGCTATTCGTTTGTGATGGGATGTCATTGGATTGGCTGCCAAGCAGGACGAGAGAATCGTCCTCAATGTAGGCATCAGAGGCTTCCGAAAGTGTCGTCGTGCGTGATTGAGCCGCTCCTGGAACAAGGTCTCTGCAACCAGAGGTAATCCCGAACCTTCAGCAGATGCAGCGTTCTCAGACACGCCTTTGTGAGCCTGCTAGCATAGGCGGCAAAGCGGCCTGGCATCAAGGGTTGAATTATCTGGGATCGGAAACCGAGAAATCACAAGTACTGGTAGTTGGGTGTTGGGCCGGGCAAGTCACCTAGGGATCTCACTGTGCTCGGTGATCAAACTTACTTCCTGCTGAGGGCGAGTGCAGAAGGCCCCTGCCAGATCCAGGGTCGTGTGTCCGGGCTGCACATGGGAGTTTCCGAAAATTAGGGTACCTTATTTGGGGATCCTTATTAATAAGGATCCTACTATTTAGGGTACTATAATAGGGTCCCCTATTTTCGGAAACCCCCACATTGACCATTGATCCACTTGCATTGGTTTGGTGCTCCTAGGAAGACTGCCGGTCTGGAGGGAGACGGACCTCGGACTGGAGGGGTAAGGATGGACCATTCTTTGCGCGAACTGCTGCCAAATCGCCGAGGATGGATGGTGCGAGACAAAGTTCCTCGAGCAGGCCCGCCTGTGGACATCCGTGTAGAAAATGTCTACGAAGTGTTATCACGATACGGGTTCCTGCTGAGCTCGCCTGGTAAGACACCAGAGATTCTGAACTTGCCTGGGCTCCCACCTCGGCGACCTTGGGTGTGTCCGGCACCGTTTGCAATCCACATGGCCTGCTGTTTGAGTTATCTCTGCAGTTCCCATGCAATCGCTGCAATCCCGATGCAGGCGCCCAATGTGGAATAGTAGCACTCGTCGTCGTCGTTTGCTGCGGAGCAGCAACGAGTAGCAGAAGGTGTAGAGTTCGGGCCCATCTGCGCAGCGCAGCACGTTTATTCACATGGCCATGACGACTTTCTCTTCTTCCCTTTGCCCTTTCCCGTTCCCTGACTCCGCTTCCTTCCGACTTTACTCGCCTGATTTTCCTAACTGTTCAACTTGATGATCTCCAAAAGGTGTAACCAGCACAGCACAGGGTAACCTGGAGGCATAGGCTTGTCGACTGTGCAGGTCGATGAGCTCCCGCGATCGGAGAGCAAAAGCAGCTCCTGGGCAGCAAACAACCACCGGATCTCGGATCAACAAGCAGGCATCAGCAGTTTGTGAGGCTTGAGGTTACTCGCTTTTCAGCTCCTGAAAGTTTGTGCGTACGCGCTTTCCCGCGCCGGACTCCGAGGTGTTCGATTGTGTCGAATTGAACGGTTTGACGTCTCGTTGCAGGCCGTGTCGACATCCGCTGACTCGAGCATGGGGTTGAGATCTTGCAGAACAGCTTTCATTGTCTCGGTCGCATGCTAAGGCGTCGCTGACCTGCTCTACGGCTTCTTTCGATTCTACAGCTGCTGGGATGCATTTTCACCCCCCACCTCGAAATGGGCTCCCGAGTGGCGCTTGTCCGAGTTGTGAGAGCGTAAGTAAGTTGGTGCATGTACGTTGGGGGGCCTCTCAACTGAGGTGAGGAGTTTGACTGGTCGCAGAATGCCGTGTGCATACGCAAGTCGGCCGCACGAGCATGGGGCTTGCATTTCGCAACAATGAGGTTTCGATTTGAGCCCGACCTCTCCAATGCAATGGCCAAGCACATCTCATGTTGTCCTCCTTCGGCTCTGACATGAGGTGAAGGCAGGCCTGGTGCGGTCGTCGACAAGTTCAACCTAAGCACCAAAACGTACTACGAGCAGTGGTTCCTTGGACACAGCAAGACGGATTGTTCATGCAAGAGCATGCAGTGCCACCGTTCTTGGAAGGGTTTGTGGTGTTGTGCTGGTGCAAAAAACAATCAGGAGATTGAGAAATCTCATACCAATTCCACAGCGGCGCAGGTACATAGAAGACCCATTTGACCTGAAGCACAACTTGGCTGGGAAATGCAGCCAGCAAGGCAGGTTTCCTGCAAACGCTTGGACAGGAAGCTGCGGCATGTGGATCACTACCTCAAGCGTGGTTTCGCTCTCAACCCTCGGCCACAGTGAAAAAACTCATCTGCTTGAAGTGCTTGGCAGGCAAAGACTACATCCTCCGCCAGCATCGAGCTGAGAATGCACAGGGTTTCACACAACAAGAATGTTTCTTAAGGAATCTAGCAAGGGATTTAGGTTTTCCAGTGGTTCGGATCTTGCCAGACTTCACAAAAACGACGAGGCACAAGGCGAGCAGCTAGCGGCTGGGTTCCTTGTTGTCCGCACCACTGCACACGGAACAAACACCAACTGACGTCACAGCATCGCCTGATGCCACTTATCCTGAATGCCAGAGTTCGCCTGGAAGAGACTCTCGTCTACCGTGTGTTCAGACGCTGAAACCACTGCTAGCGTGCTCAAAGGATGCAGAGCGCCAAAGACGAGCTGTGCAAGGCGACGCCAGACGTGGCCAAGGCACAGACGAAGCTCAAGGATTGAATAGTTTCGTTTGAGCCACAAGTTGCAGTGCCGGTGCATCCGGCTCTGACCAGAAGCCAGAAGCATCAACGACTTTTGTCAGATGCAGAGATTTCGCATTGATCTTCATGACGGCTTCTCGTCCG